TTAAAATGAATATACTCGCGACCTGTGGTAATTTCTATGGGTAATTTTTAATTTGAACATTTGGTTTATATCTATTTCGAAATAAACAGTTTGTGGGCGTGGAATTGGGTTCGTTCTCTACCTCTTTTTTAGGTTTTATAAAAAAATAGAAGAAACTGAACTTTTATTTCACACATCTTTCTTTGATTTCCTTAAAAATACGATGGAAAATTCCTAAAAGCCTTCAGTTTAAAGCTTATGCTCTCTTTCTGAATACATACTAATTGAGAATTATATATTTTAAATATAAAAAAATCTAAGCAATAAACCCAACTTTTTTTCTCCAAGTACACAGCAGCGATTATGCACAGCGCATCACGCTTAATGTTATTCTTAACTGCCAAACAGCGCTTTCCTGCGCAATTTTTGCAAAGCAGAGCAAAGATAAAAGCCGAAAGCGGAAAACCAAACTTAGTCCAAATCAAAGTCGAAGAAAGGGAGACGCAAAGATTAAAGACAAGGCAGACTTACAGCCGCAACACAAGCATATGCATGTACGACATGTGCGCAGGTGCTGTACGATACTAGGCAAGGCCACGCCAATGGCAACGCACAGAAATTACGGTTGCAATGTAAATGAGTATATTAAATTTATTCTTGGGGATAATACCGCAAGTTTGCATGCGAATCGGTATATAAATTGGGCAATGGGCGTAGCCCCGCCCACTTTAAGGTGAAATCTCATATATCTTATATATCGCACTTCGACCACGCCTACTTCCCCTGTTATCGTAGTACTAAATTCCATATGTTTTTTTTCTTTTTTTAATATATACAAAGAGAAGAGCCAATGAAAATAACGAAATAAAACTTTGTACAAATAGTGGCTTCGAAGTGTGGCATGCTCTCATCCAAAAATTGAAATCAGACTATTACTTTTCAAGGCCGCCTGATACTGAAAACGAGGACTTTAGTTATGGCTTAAGTCCTTTCTGGTGATAATGTGATCTATTGCTAATAATGGATAAAATCGATTGAGTATTTGTACTAGCCCCCGTATACCTAAAGTATTGAAATACGAGCATGACTCAATATCTTACGTATCGATTATGTAAATATTTAAACACACGATTTGAATATATCTTTTTGAAAATACTACCGTTTGGTACACAAAATGCGTGAAATAAGTCCATAAAAAGTTCGAACTTAGCGCTTATTTATTTGTTATTTACATTTCTGATTTCAGTTATTTTTTTTCGAACTTTTTAATTTTAATAATAATTTTAATTTATAATTAAATTTTTGTCCAAGTGATTTGGATATGCGATTTTAAATATTACCCAATATATATATTATATATATTTTTTTTCGAAACTCTCTTTTCGATGAGACCTTTCGCACGTAATCGTCAAAGTCATATACATACATATGTATATTAAGAGCTGGTAGAGTGTTTCCTTTTTTATAGAACAACCTATTAAATTTAAAAAAATTTAAAAATTTCAAAAAAAAAATTAATCCCTAACATAATGGAATTTATGTCGATATATATTGTCTATTGGAGCTAGGTTATAAACTGTCATATCCTGCAATCAAAAAACAAGAAAAAACGTTAACTTCGGTTGCACCGAAAATAATCCATAAAGTAACTTAATTTTGATCGGTCAGTGCGTATGGCATATGCTATAGTGGTCCCATATCGGCGGCTCCGACAAAAAACGTGTGCAAAATTCCAGACCGATATCTCAAAAATTGAGGCACTAGGACAGACAGACGGACATGACTAAATAAACTCAGCTGGTCACTCTCTCTGATCATTTATACGAATAATATATAGAGCCTTCGACGTTTCTTTCTGTGTTTTAAAAACTTTATGGCACACTTAATATTCCCTGTTCAGGGTATAATAAATTCGTATCCTCAACATTTGCCATTTCTACAGAACTTTATTTTTCAGTGTATTTGTGCCACCGTAAAACTAGTCAAAATTAAGTTGTCTGCCTGAGAAAGTGTGAATAAATCAAAATATGCAAATCATTAGAAATTCGCCGATAATTCATTAGTGAAAAAAGAGTTACAAGCGTTGAAATGTTGGCGCTACTAATTGCTACCCGATTTATTGCAAAGATTTTCACTATTCGATGCGAAAATAAGTTTTTCGTTTACAAGAAAACACAAATTGATTGCGAAAAGGAGAGAATAGGTAAATCAAATGACAGAAGTGTTAGAAATTGTATCAGAATACTTGCAAGCAGCTAAAGCTCATTCTAAGTGCTGATACTTAGCACGTAACTGTAAAATATTAAAAAACCGAAATGTTTCTTATCAACGGTCTTGCAGCGACATTTTCATAACACCCATGCGCATTAATATGCGAAATTACATACATTAGCTGTATTGTGTGCACTCATATATGAATGTGTGTGTGTGTGTGTGTCGACTCCTTTGAAATTTTTGATTAATCGAAGATGCAATTTCATAATCATCATATCGTAGCTTTAAGGCCTGAGCAAAACCAAACACGAAACAAACAACAAACATAATGTACCTTTGTAGCAGTATTACAGTTAATTTTCGTATTTTGACTTCGGAACAGGCAAACTCACGGCTAACAAATTGATAAATCGTGCAAGCGTATTTGCTTAAGGCGCTCAGTTACCACTTCGTTTTGCAACGATGAACCAAAACCGAAATACACAATCGCTTATTGCTGTTGGTTTGTTTGTAGGCATGCAAGTGTGTATGTGTATGAGTACTAGCTATGTCCACAGGTAATCACTAATGGGCAAGAGTTGAAAAGTCAAAGAGTGTCAAGTGACAAAAAGAAAAGAGGCGACAAAGCCGATTCTGTGGTGAGAAAGAGGAGCGTGTCTCAGCTTACGTGTAAATATACAACAACAACAACAGCACTCATTACAACAGACTATGTCATATTTGTTGTGAAGATTACAAAGGCGTGTGCAATATCTTTCAGTCACACAATTGCATGTTTCCCCCCGGATTTTCATAAATTTTTATTGCGATGCTTCGGTGTTTTGGTGTACATCATTTATTAAATATGTTAAACTGCAAATAATATTTCGGTTGGTATTTCATTTGTTGGTTTTAGCCCTTGTTAACCTAATCTCATTGTTGGCACTAGACAATCTTTCGATTGCTGAATAATATTTTGTACGAATGCGTCGATATTCAATTACGGTAAATTGAAGAAGATTGTGTTAGAGAGCGCATTTGCTTAAAACAATAATTTTTTCTAGAGAATGGTATTACAAATCGACGAGAAAACAATTTGATACAAATACATTGCGATGCTTGAATCACTGACCGCAGAGGGCCTTTTGAAGACTGTTTAAACATTCAACGTCGAAAAATGAAAATAGTTGTCAAAGCAGTCGATTGTAAAAAAATATCTTCATGATGCTCTCATATTTCCCATTGAAAACAAAGATCAAAAGACAGCTTTTAGAATTTTATCAATAAACTCCAAAGCAAATTTGGCCTTAAGTTAGGAAAGGATAAACTGTATGCGGTTTAGAATGATTATCATTTAATTCAGCGAGTTAAAATCCAAATATCAAGCTGAAAAGAATATGCTGTTCAAAAATCATGCATTTCTTGAATCTCGTAAGCTTTCGATTTGATATCGAACATAGGTAGGTCAAGAGAGAAGTTGGCTCTCTGCAAAAGATTAAGTTAAACGCACTTACTTCTTAGAAAAACAATGAAAGATATCACCACTATCACTACTTTATATCTTAATGCAGAAAGCTAAAAATTTATATTATTCACGGTCCGACCAGGGAGACTGACAATTATATTTATTTGAATCGTTTCTATGAAAGATAGCAACTAAAATTGATGCATATTCTCTTAGACTTAATCTTCAAGAGACTGATGGCGCAGTGGTTTACTCTACAAAGTTACCATTTCTTTTTATTTTGAATAAGATAAATTCAGGTACATAACCGATAGTCTGTATATAAAAACAAGTAAAAACGTTAACTTCGGCTGCATCGAAGCTATATACCTTTCACAGGTGCACATCTTATACAATAAAAGGGTATGAAAAGGTCTTTATTTTGATTTTGATCGGTAGTTTGTAGGGTAGCTACCATATATGATGTACTTGTAGTAGTCTGATGTAAACAATTTTTTCGGAGATTAAAGCGTTGCAATGGAAAATATTTTATGCGAAATTTTGTGAGTATCTGTCTAATAGAAAAGGTTTCCATACAAGAATTTGATATTTTATGGTCAGTTTGTAGAACAGCTATATCCTATAGTGCTCCGATTTGGTGGTTATCGGCAAATAAGTAGCTTATTAGAGCAAGAAGGATGTGTGCAAAATTTCAGGGACATATCTAAATTGATTCAGTTCGTCACACTGATATACTTTAGGGTAGATCCCGACATATAATCAATTTATATATTACAATAAGTAATCTACCGAGAATTGAAATCCAAAGTATACGCAAAACATGTTGAATATTAAGTAGAACGCAGTCACTTCTCATAAATTATATATAATCTTCTCTAAGATGGATAAAAAAGTGAAATATGTACGGTTTTTCACGGGATCCAATAATTTTCATATTCAATGAGTCCTTTGAAAGTATCGCGAAATTTACGATATTAGCCAAAGCCACTTAAGTTGAGAATAATAGTTTTTCAAATCCTCCTATATTATCATGTTCAAAATACTTTGGCTTACATCACAGAAAGAAAAAAATAAAAACTTTTCTCTAACACTTTCTCTCAAAAACAAATAGACGAACTTTATCAGTCACACTTACCTCGTTAATTTCATCCTCCAGCGCTCGCTGACGCGTCAATTCACGCAAGCGCTCACGACGCTGCTCCGTGAGCTGCTCCAGCCGCTTGGCCGCGCGATCGACCTCATTGAATAGTAATGTCACTTTGTGCAGTCTAATTGCAACATTCGCGTTGCCTGCTGCACTACAGTCATCTACCGCAACGACATTATTAGCTAACCGTCGCGTTGCCGCACTGTTGGCTCGCCTGATGGTATCGCATGACGTCATTGAGCTGTACTTTAACGCAGCGGGGCGATTTTGTGACGACTGTTGTTGATGTGTCATGCTAAAGTTATAACTGCCACCAAAGCCGAGATGGCTGATGGATGAAATGGTGGACAATAGCTTGTTGCTGCTGCTGTGGCGATTGTTGTTGCCTGCACCACCGGCTCCAGAGCTGCTGCCATAAATGTTGCCATTATGATTATGGCTATTTTCGCCAGCGTCAGTTGTCGTTGCTGCAACCAGCGCGAACGATTTGGCCAGCTCCTGCAAACGCGCTAGCTGTAAAGCGCCACGCTTGCGCAAATTATGTAATTCAGAATCCATAAGCGCGCGGCTTAGCGCGCGATGTTGCGCATACAATTGGCGACGTGTGGGTAAACCCTGTAGGTCGGCGGAGCGTATGTCACTCATGGCGGCCACTAGCCGTTGGCCCGCCGTGGCGCATTGCCGTTGAAAGGGTTCCAGTGCGACGAAGAATTCGCGCCACTTCCGTGCGTCGTGATGATGCAAACCTTGAATTTGCCGTACGGATATTGCGATGGTGCAACACTTGTCGTGACTTCATTGACGCTAATGAATTTCAACGAATGTTGTTTTGTGTTGTGTCGCTGCTGCTTGCTGTTGCTGCTCCTGTTCATAAGGGGGGGAAAGAGGAAATCAAGAAACGTTGTGTTGAGTTACGATTTTAATAGTTGTTGCTTTGTTGTTATTTTTACATTCAATCATTGGGTCGGTCCGTGTTTTGCTCCGTCCTCTCTTCTTTGCCTACATATTTCTCTTTTGCACATCTGGTTGTCCGTTTGGTCGTTTGTCGCTTTGCCGTGTCGCTTTGTATTTGTGTTTACTCTTTGCCAATCTTTTTGTTGCTATTATTGTGGTAGTTCTTGTTAAAAATCGGGTTAATTGGGTGTTATGTCGGGGCGTTAACCGCGTGCTCAGATGTTGATCATTTGTTCGCGAGCGTTTTTTTTTCTTGCTATGAGCTACAGTTTTTACCTTCCTACTTTGTGGGTCCAAGCCGGAGTCTACATTGTTTCTATCTACAATTGTTTCTTTGTTATTGTGGTGCTTTCAATACCTTGTTATTTACTACTCATTGCTACTCATTCAATTGTTAGCGAATCGACATCAAGACATTTACCTCATTTTATTTAACAAGTAACTACAGTTTCGCCGGGTGGGGAGTTGTTTGTTCGTCGCTGCTTTGCCCTGGCCTCCAAAGGAAGTTCACACAAAGTTCAGCAGTTCACAACTGATTTATTTTGGAATATTTCGTTGAATGCCAGTTTCGAAAATGTTCATTTGCACTAAAACCCTTTATCGCATTATACAATAGAAATGTGAGTGACAAATTTGGTAAGACCAGCTGTGAGGCGGCAAGTTAGTGTTTGTTGTTATATGTAGTGAAAGTATTGTTTTGACAAGGTTGAGAGACTGTAGGTTATCATTTGACTCCTAAAAAACGTATCCAACTAAGAGTTGAAGTGATAGGAATGTCTAGAATTGGGCTGTGGGTTTTGAGTGAATCCTAAGCAGAACCGAGAAATGTGCCGACTGCAAATTGGTAATCAGTATCACTAAAGGTCTTGGTTCTCGCCCTTCATCTCCTCTTTGGCGTTCTAGGTACAACGTGTATAACTCGGACTAACAACAAAAGTATATAAGATCGGTTTTGTTGAATTAAATTCCTAAAAAAAGGTGCCCTTTTTAAAAATCTTAGGATCGTATTAAAGGCATATAAGAAATATATTTACTCTTTCAGATGCTAACTATATCAAATTCAAGTTTCCACCAAACTTAAGTTTTCCAAAGATCATACTTGTTCGGACTTGGGTGGACTAAGTGACAACAAGTGCGTTATTTATGGGTAAAAAAAACTGTAAAGCTTGAATTTACTTAAGAAGCTTCAGTTTGACCTGAAAGCTTTCATGGTTTCTCCCTTTAATCTCTCAATAATATCGAGCAGATTTGTTCAAAGTTTTATTTTGGACTTATTTCAAATTTCTCCAAAGCAAGTTTATACTTCTAATCTCATTTAAATTTTCAAGGATGCGTCTTTCTTAGCAGTCTAAGTATTCTAAACCCCTCATAAATTTCTTTAGAATAATTATAAAAAGTAACAGTTTGTAATAGCGGTACAAGTTTTCTGAATGTCATAAATCTTAGTTTAGTTGAATAAAATTTTGGGCTCCAAATAAATTCCCATAACAAATATGGAAAATCAAAAAATTGTCCATAAATTTTGGTCCGACACTTACAAGCCTATGTAATGTGGCCAAAGTACAATTTTTTGTTTTTATTTTGTTGTAGTTGTTATTTAACTGTTTTCAGTTTTGTTAATGTGTGTGGGTGCAACTCACCTTAATGCAACTCTCGTTATTCTCGCCATTAGCGCAACTGCTGACAGCCGTATTATTGCCAAATGCTGAGAGCTGCTGCTGTTGTGATTGTTGTTGTTGTTCCAGTAGTAAGTTGTGTTCGAGGCAAACGGCAAGAATTTCGCAATACGCAATTTGCCTTGTCAGTAGACGCAGACTTTGGCAAATTAAGTCGATTACGCACATTTGGCCCGACTTTTCGATGGCAATTAGAATGGTGAACGTTGGTGTTGCAGCACCGTGGCTGCCACTGTTGCCGCTGTCGTTGCTGTTGGTGGCGTTGCTGCTGTCAGAAATCGCATGGGCGGGTGATTTAGCAGCGGCGACTGTGGCTGTTGGGACATTTGAGGTGACTGACACACTTGTGGAGTTGCCAGATGCCAACGTCGCTGCGCTGGCCATTTTCGGTGTCGACGGACGGTTGATGAATGCTGGTTCTGCTTGCGACTCTTCGTGGCTGTGTTGGATTTGTTGTTGTTGCATTGAAGGTTGTTGCTGCTGCTGCTGCGTTGTGGTACGGTCATTAGCATTCACAGTTAAAGTTCTGCAAATTGAAATTGAAAATGAAAACAACAAATATTTTAGCAAAATGCGTGACTGATTATCAAAAAACAAAGCGAATGAATTGCATGAAAGCGATGCAGATAAATATTGAAACTCGTTAGAGAGACATATGTACACGTTTTGTACTCGAGATTTTTACCAGCTGCAGCAAACTGATATTATCTGCGTGTGCGTGTGTATGCGTGCGTTCATATCATGCTCTAAGCTCTGAGAACTATTGTAGATAAATGATCGATCATTAGCCGATCTGTGGATAAACTCGTTAATAGACAGACAAATGCATTTATGAATACACTGACAAGGTATAACCCTGTAGGAAAATTTTCACGTTGAAGAGAAGTGAGTGCGCTATTACTTCAGTTTAGAGAAGAACAGTGGCGAGTATTCATTCTGGTGTACTGGTTAAATAATTTGAGCGCGGAGACTCAGGAATGATCAAGTAATGTTGTGTTATTCCGAACTAGAGACTATTCTGGAAACTTTAATTTGAATAGCGTGTTCAAGTTGCCCAAAAGGAAACTTCGGATAATCTATAAAAAATATATACTCATACATATATAAGATCAGCATGACGAGTTGAGTTGATTTAGCCATGTCAATCTGTCTTTCTATAATATACTCGAACTAGTCCCCCAGTTTTTGAGATATAAATGTCAAATCTAGCATACGTTTTGTTCTCTCAAATTAGCTGCTCTTCTGATCACTATAGCATTAGACCGTAAAACCGACCGGCTCTTACTAATTAGGGTCTTCGTATTGCAATCAAGCCTGGCATATGACATTTGCACTTATCCGAAACATACGGTTGGCTTTCCCTATCACTGTCAAAGCCTTTATGATAGATTTAATGTCAAGGAACAAGTGTAAGCTTCTGGTTAGGGTTTATTTCCCAACATAAATCTCGAAGAAGCCGCCGAGTTGACAGTTATAAAGCTTGTAAGCATCTGGATACGCTCGGTAAAGTAGACTTTTTTGATAAATGGGGGTCCTTGCTGATGATCTAGTTACCGTCCCTACATGGTACATTTATTTTAGAAGAACTGAAAAGTATTTACGCATTCGTAGCCAGCTCGCATAATTTACAAACTGAACCCTGACACAGAAAATATCTTTAT